TATCCGGCTGGACTCTGGCACAGGATGTACTCATTTGTATTTTTGAGGCAGAGTCTCATGCAGCCCAGGCTTAGCCTGTACTACTATGTAGCTAAGGCTAACCTTGAACACTTGATCTTCCTGTCTCCTCCTCTTATGTGTCGGGACTACAGGCATGTGACACCATGCTTGGTCCGTTTTTTTCCCTCTTAAAGACGTTCTTTCCCATTTTCTCATTTCATTTTGGGCTGGCTGCTGTTCGTCTTATAGGCAAACGTTTTCTCTAATGCTGCTCTCAGAATTTCCTTTGCTGTCCTTCTCAACTGGATCCTTTTAAATTTTTTAAATTTTTATTTATTTTACGTGTATTTTTCACCTGTGAGTGTTTTACCTGCATATATGTCTGTGTACTGTGTACATGTCTGGTTCCAGCTGAGGCCAGAAGCTGGCGTCAGATCCCCTGGACTTGAGTTACAGAAGGTTGTGAGCCACCACGTGGGTGCTAGGAATTGATCCCAGGTCCTCTGAAAGAGCAGCCAAATGCTCTTTCCGTTGAGCCAGCTCTCCAGACCCCCTCTACTGGATCCTTTATTTCTTGGATCCCATGCTTTTTGCCTTTTGTCTTCCTCTTTTTGGTTGAGTATCTTTCAGTAGCTTCTTATGGTTGCGTGGTAAATAACTCCTTAAAAGCTGATTGCTAGCATGGCTAGGTATGAAATGGTTTACTTTTAGATTTTTTAAAAAATATTTGTTTTTATTTTATGTATATGGGTGTTTTATCTGCATGTGTCTGTGCCAACAGAGGCTAGAAAAAGGCATCAAAGTCCTGGATGAAGGCATCCCTGGAACTGGACTGATAGGAGATTGTGAGCCTCCATGTGGGTGTTGGAAATGAACCTGTGTCTTCTGGAAGAGCAGCCCATGCTCTTAACCACTGAGCCATCTCTCCAGCCCCACTGTTAGATTTTTGAAGGTATTATTCCATTGTCTTTTAGCATCTGTTTTTTATTGTTGAAGAATATTTATCATTCTGGCTCCCAATCCTTTGTATTTGGGCCATATTTTTCTCTTTGGAAGCTTTTGGGATTCGTGTCATTTATGATATTCCACAGTGATGTGATATCTTTTTGACTGTTTTCTTTTCTAAGGATGTAATATCTTGAGGTAGATTTTTTTTTCCTTCATCATGCTAGACTGTGCCCTCTGAATCTTTAATTTCACATCCTTCAGTTCTTAGTGTGGTACTCAATACTATTCTATAGCTGTTATATACATCTGGAAAGCCAAACTATTAACCAGTCAGAGTCTTTTAAGATGTTCTTACAAAGAGTAAACTTTTAGCATTCTTCCCAACTGTTTGGGTCAAGTGGGAGTCATATGCAGACTTTAAACCAGTGGTTCTCAGCCTTCCTAATGCTGCAACCCTTTAATATAGTTCCTCATGCTGTGGTGACCATAAGATTATTTCATTGCTATTTCATAACTGTAATTTTGCTACTGTGAAACTGTAATGTAAGTATTTGATATGCACACTCCCCCCCCCCCCCCGCCCCGTGAAAGGGTCATTCGACCCCTAAAGTGGTCACGGCCCACATGTTGAGAACCACTGCTTTAAACTATTGTGTTTCCATCCCTACTCACACCTCTGATGGAAGAAGTTACAATACCTCTAACTTCTCAGTTTTGCCAGGGTTTTGGGTTGATTGAGAAAACTGTTTTTACAGCTAGACACCACTATACATGTAATAGCTCAAACATAGTTCTCTTAAGTAATAGTACAATGGCCTTTGGTATTTGTGGGTTCTGTATCCACAGATTCACCCAACTGTATGATGAAAATATATTAAAAAAAAAAACTATGTTGGGGAATATTATTTTAAGGTGTGTTCCTTTTGTTTATGTTACATTTGTCAACTCTATGATATTGGTGAAATTATTAAGGCCACTCCACGTAGTTAAAAGGAAGATTTATTTAGTGGGTAACTTACAAATAAAGGGATAGGTAGGTTGCGGGGTCTGGGGAAGGTGTATTGCAGTCCAGCGGTGTTCTCTGGAGCTCTGCTCGGTCAACCTCCACCTCCACCGTCTAGGGTCCAGGAACAGAGAGCGCACTGGCCCATCCAGATCTTGGGTCTCTCAGCGCCTCCCTTGGCCCCGCCTTGTAGGCGTGACAGTTGCCGAAGCCTCAATGGGGATTGGAACTTCCAGATCAAAGCTGGAATGGCTACCCACTACACTAAGAAGCTGTGTTACTGTGCCTGTCTAAAACACCTGATGATCTAATAAAGAACTGGCCAATAGCAAGGCAGGAGAAAAGATAGGCAGGGCTGGCAGGCAGAGAGAGTATATAGAGGGAGGAATCTGGGAAGAGGGAGAAGAAAAAGGAAGAAGTAGCCAGAGAAGGAAGAGGACTCCTGGGGCCAGCCATCTAGCTACACAGCAAGTCACGGAGTAAGAGTAAGATTTACAGAAGTAAGAGAATGGGAAAGGCCCAGAGGCAAAAGGTAATTTAAGTTGAGAAAAGCTGGCTGGAAACTAAGACAAGCTAAGCCTGGGCATTCATAATTAAGAATAAGCCTCCGTGTGCGAATTTATTTGGGAGCTGGGTGGTGGGCCCCCTCAAAAGAGTAAAAAAGAAAATACAACAAAACTGTTTATAGGGACTGGAGAAATGGCTTAGCAGTTAAGAGCACTTGCTCTCCAGAGGGCTCAAGTTAGGTTCCCAGTACTCATCTTGGCCAGCTCACAACTGCCTAATAACTTCAGCTTCAGGGGATTTGACACCTTTTTCTGACCTCGTGTGTGTGTGTGTGTGTGTGTGTATGTACACACATGCTCACCTGTACATACACACACAATTAAAATTAAATAATTATTTAAAAATAAAATAAATATTTTAAAAAACAAAACCTCTGAGCTGTCAGTGGTATTGCATACCTGTAATCTCAGCAAGAGGCAGGCGGATCTCTGTGAGTTCCAGGCTAGCCAGAGCTACATAATGAGCTCTGTTTAAAAGTAAAAAACTGCTGGGCGGTGGTGGCGCACGCCTTTTTTTTTTTTTTTTTTTTGGTTTTTTTCGAGACAGGGTTTCTCTGTGTAGCTTTGCGCCTTTCCTGGAACTCGCTTTGGAGACCAGGCTGGCCTCGAACTCACAGAGATCCGCCTGGCTCTGCCTCCCGAGTGCTAGGATTAAAGGCGTGCGCCGCCGGGCGGTGGTGGCGCACGCCTTTAATCCCAGCACTCGGGAGGCAGAGCCAGGCAGATCTCTTTAAGTTCAAGGCCAGCCTGGTCTACAGAGCGAGATCCAGAACAGACACCAAAACTACACAGAGAAACCCTGTCTCGAAAAACCCCAAAAAATAAATAAATAAAATAAAAATAAAAAACCTGCTTTTGTACCAATATGACTGACTTTTTCCTTGGTCCGTATTCTCTAAACAATATAGTATAACAACTATTTACATTGTCTTATGTATTGTAAGCAATCCAGAGATAATTAAAATATAGGGGAGGATATGAGCAGGTTATATGCAAATAATGCCATCATTTCATATAAGGGCCAAGTATCCATGCATTTTGGTATCTGCAGAGGGTCCTGGGATAAATTCTGAGGTGAATGTACTAGTGAAAAAGTTAGCAAGATAACTTTGCTTGTATTTCCAGAGACCCGAGTTTCAGTGACCTCTGAAAAGGTTGCTATGGCAGTCAACTCTGCTAGTCATTCAGAATTCAAAGAATTCATGAAGCAATATGTTCAGGAGCTTTTTATGGGCCAGTCTTAAAGGTGTGCATATCACTTCTACCCACATTCTATCCTCTAGAACGCAGTCACAGGGCTCTGCCAAAAGAAGGGTGGAAAGCATAATCTACTTAACTGCCCAAGAAGGAAGGAACTAGGATTTTAAGGAGCATCTATCAGCTGCTCCACTCCTGTGGTCTGTGACGTAAAATAGTGTGAAGCACTCACATTTTCTCTAGTCCAAGCCAGTTGTTGTTTAGCTATATGCTGTTCAGTTGTCAGATTTTTGTCAAAATCTATTTTCTTTTTCTCTTACTATTTTTTTTTTTGTTCTTGTGGGATTTAGGACTTTCTTTTTCCATTACTATAATGTTAGGAAAATTTTGATTGGGAGTTGTAGTGGGTAGCCATTCCAGCTTTGATCTGGAAGTTCCAACCCCCATTGAGACTTCGGCAATGTCACGCCTACAAGGCGGGGCCAAGGGAGGCGCCTGGGGACCCGAGAGCTGGATTGGCGGGCGCTCTCTCTGTTGCGGGACCCTGGACTGGAGAGGTGGACCGAGCAGAGCTCCAGAGAACACCGCTGGACTGTGATACACCTTCCCCAGACTCCGCGACCTACCTATTCCTTAATTTGTAAGTTACACCATTAAATAAATCTCCTTTTAACTACGTGGAGTGGCCTTAATAATTTCACCAATATCTGGCGCCCAACGTGGGGCACGAACCCACGACCCTGAGATTAAGAGTCTCATGCTCTACCGACTGAGCTAGCCGGGCTGGGAGTAAGGTAAATGTCAGCTGTGTAGCCTCCTAAAATATGTAGGCATGGGGCTGAAATGATGGCTCAGTGATGAAGTGAATTGACTGTTCTTGCAGAGGACCCAGGCTGAATTTTCAGCACTCACATGGTGGTTCACAACCATCTGTAACTCTAGTTTCAGAGGATTTGATGTCCTTTTCTGGCCTCTGAGAGTACCAGGCATGCACATGATACACATACACACATGCAAGCAAAACACTCAAACACATAAAAATGAATAAATATGTAAAATTTAAAAATATGTACACATGGGGCTGGAGAGATGGCTCAGTGGTTAAGAGTACTGACTGCTCTTCCAGAGGACCTGGGTTCAATTCCCAGCAACCACATGGCAGCTTATAACTGCCTGTGACTTCAGTTTCTGGGGATCTGATACCTTCATACAGACATACATGCAGGCAAAACACAAATGCACATGAAATAAAAATAAATAAATTGTAAAAAATTATGTAGACATAATAAAATGATCAAATATCTAAGTTTAGTATGGGTTAGCTGGCTGCTACAAATCTGCTGTGGAAATTAGTCATATTTCTTATGTCTGGCCCCCTTATTTTATCATTTCATTGTATTGGGATTTCTATATTAAATTAAGAACTGAAATCAGATTTATGAGCCATATTATATTTGACTTAAAAAAACAACTGATAGAGCCAGGCGTTGGTGGCGCACGCCTTTAATCCCAGCAATTGGCAGGCAGAGGAAGGCAGATCTCTGAATTCGAGGCTAGCTTGGTCTACAGAATGAGATCCAAGACAGCCAAGACTACACAGAGAAACACTGTCTCGAAAAACCAAAAGAAAAGCAATAAGTATTCGCTGTATGTTTTTGAGTTTTGTGAGGATGTCTTCTTCCCAGGATCTAGGAATGTTGAGGATGTTCTTTAGCTTACAGAGGAAGACTCCAGGAGAAAGAGAGGAAAATACAGAAGGATGGCTGTACTAAGAATGAATTCAGAATGTTAATGATTAGGTTTCTGTGCAAGATTAAGAAGAAGCAGACACTGTTGTATAGCTTGAATTTTCCTGCCTGGCCCACGGTCAGGACAAATCTCCCTCACCCCGCCAGTCCCACAGCAGCTCAGACCCGACCAAGTAAACACAGAGACTTATATTGCTCACAAACTGTATGGCCGTGGCAGGCTTCTTGCTAACTGTTCTTACAGCTTAAATTAATCCATTTCCATTAATCTATACCTTGCCACATGGCTCGTGGCTTACCGGCATCTTCACATGCTGCTTGTCATCATGGCGGCTGGCAGTGTCTCTCTGACTCAGCCTTCCACTTCCCAGCTTTATTCTCCTCCTTGTCCCGCCTACACTTCCTGCCTAGCCAATGGCCAATCAGTGTTTTATTTATTGACTAATTAGCAACACATTTGCCATACAGAACATCCCACAGCACTCCCCCCCCCCTTTTTTTTTCAAAAAGGAAGGTTTTAACCTTAACAAAGTAAAATTACATATAATTTGGGAATTTGGGCGTAGCTTCTCTTACTACTTCCTGCTGGAGGGGGGCGCTGTATCTTATGGGGATGCAAAGAAAATTTTAGGATTATGGAATAGTCCATGAGGCTGTATTGTCTGAGCCAGTTGCCTTCAAACCATTCTGGATGTTGGATCATCTGGGCCATGGTGTCATCAGAGACCTTTCAGGGGGTCTTGGCTGGTCAAACCTGATGTATCTTAATCTGGAACAAATCCATAGCCTTTGGCTTTCTGTGGGAAAAAAAGCAGAGACTCTTTTCCAAAGCAACATATCCTTATATCCAAATTTTGAAGTCAAGGTACCTTTAAAATATACATTTTGGCATAACTCAACAGCTTTTACAATCAAATATTTTTCTGCAGTTAAAAATCTCAAAGACAACACAATCCAGATTCTCTGTGTAATATTCATCTTCACATGGCTTATTTTTTATATTAATTTTACTGTATCTTTAAAGACTTTATTTTTTAAAACTATGTATTTGTTTATATAACTGTATATATCACCTTTTTTTGTCTCTTTCAAACCTACGTATATTTTACACACATTGTAAACTATTACATCTGAATCTGTCTTATTGTAAATCTATTGCTTTAAACTGCAACAGCTGTGGCTGCTGACTCCGCCCACCTCAGCTTCCCAACATGGCAGTAGTACATTTTCCACCAGCTCTGGGAGCTATCGTGGGTCTATGCTTTTATCCAAGCAGCGTGTAGCCCAGAAACCTCTTTTTTTGTTTTGTACTAGCAAAGTCTAAATCCACCATGCAGCTTAATGTGCCACTTGCAGAGGCCTCATTCCCGCCATACAGCAGATCGAGCTAGGAACCCACAAGTAGCTCAAACCGGCAGCTGCCGCTCATTTGAGAGAGACAATTAGGAACTGTTTTTAGCTCCATTTTAGAATCTTTTTTCTCAGGTTTTAGGTGGAAACTCTTGCCACCACGTTGGACGCCATTTGTAGCTTAAGTTTTCCTGCCTGGCCCACAGTCCGGGCAAATCTCTCTCACCCGCCCGTCCCACAGCCGCTCAGACCCGACCAAGTAAACACAGAGACTTATATTGCTTACAAACTGTATGGCCATGGCAGGCTTCTTGCTAACTGTTCTTACAGCTTAAATTAATCCATTTCCATTAATCTATACCTTGCCACATGGCTCGTGACTTACCGGCATCTTCACATGCTGTTTCTCATCATGGCGGCTGGCAGTGTCTCTCTGACTCAGCCTTCCACTTCCCAGCTTTATTCTCCTCCTTGTCCCGCCTTTTTTTTTTTTTTTTTTTTGTTACAAACTGTATGGCCGTGGCAGGCTTCTTGCTAACTGTTCTTACAGCTTAAATTAATCCATTTCTATAAATCTATACCTTGCCACATGGTTCGTTGTGTTCGGCAAGACAGCGTAGAAGGAAGAAGCTTTTGATGAGGCTTTGATTAGCTGGCCCTTAAAGTCCCATCTGCAAATTCAGTTTGTCTGGGTAGGTCCTGCTAAGTGGGACTTGGCAGAAACCCCCACTCTGCTTTAGTGTGGCTCAAGCTGGGATCCATCTTCTTACTGACCGAGATTAAAGTGAGGAATTGCTTTCTGCTGAGGAACAGCGTTCTGTCAGTGTTACATCACAAAATCCGCTGGAGCCAGCCCTTTCCCTAGCTGCCCTTACCATGCTAAGAAACGTGCAAAACTGCCTTCATCAGTGCTCTGCCTCTCCTTTCCTCGGGGATGTTAATCTATATCCTGTTTTGCCAAGGACCAGTGGATTTGGGAATCTGTTTCTTCTCCTTACTAGAGTGACAGCAAGTCACAGCTCTGACTCCCTTCTTCCTTTGAAATCTGTAAGATAGCTTATAATAAAGACTTTCCCCTGCTCTCCTTCCCCAGGAACTTCTGGTTCTAGACTTCTAAGAGTAACTTCTTACTCTTTGAATCAGAGGGAGAATGTGGTAGGTTAGAATCTTGGGACTAAGTGCTATCATTTGAGAGTTTTGAAACGTTATTGTAAAGTGGGCACAAGATACATGTGCATAGAAAATTTCTCAGGTCAAATGACTTAACCTAAAAAAGAGAGAGAGAGAGAGAGAGAGAGAGAGAGAGAGAGAGAGAGAGAGAGAGACAGAGAGACAGAGAGACAGAGAGACAGAGAGACAGAGAGACAGAGAGACAGAGACAGAGAGAGACAGAGAGAGAGAGAAGTGTTCTAAATGGTGGTCTGGAAGCCACTTTGAGCAGGAATAGAGGAACATTATCTAGAAACTCTACCAAGTTCTAGCAAAACTCAGATCTGCCATTCTGTTTCCTAACATTTGGTTCCTGATACATATATAAAGTCTGTTAAATTCTCTTCTTGGTCAGTGTCTGTCTGTTTTAAGTCCCCACTTTCCTGTTCACTACACTTAGTTGTAGAGTGTTTGACTAGTATGCAAATACTAGCATACCCTAAGTTAAATCCTCAATACTGTGGAAGGAGGATGTTGAGGGACAGAAGACAGGAAAGAGGAGGAGGAATAAGAGAAGAAAAGTAGATAAGTGAATAACATGATAGGCCCAGTATTTTCAAGTGTACAGGTTGTCAGTGAGGATGATTCCTGTAGGGTTTGCCTGGTTCCAAAATGTCCATGTTAAGTTTACTCAGCCATGAATTACTGTCTTCCTAGTCTATCAGCCAAGCTGGTAATGCTACCTTCAGAAGAGCCAGGTCCACAAGGCACCTGCAAAATAGATTTGAAAAGTAAGACTATATAGGTGTGACATTTAACATAGCAATTAGCGGAGCTTCTAAGTACCTATGACAATGACATGCCCTTTCTGTAAGCTGACTTACAGTTGTTCAGGAAAACAGAGATCATTTATTGTAGAATAAACCTTCTTTCTCCTGACCTGCCCTTGTAAAGGGAGGAAGGCATAAGTCCACATCACCAGGGCTCTTCAGTTCTCTTAAGCACAGTGGTCCTATCTCCATGTACTAGTTACTTCTCTATTACTGTGATAAATCACCATGGCCAAGGCAATTTATTGAAGGAAGGGTTTATTTGAACTTAGGGTTCCAGAGGGATAGAGTCCATCACCATCACAGTGGGAAAGTGTGGTGACAGACAGGCATGGTGACTAGAGATGGAAGTTGAGAGCTGACAGTTCACATCTTGAACCACAAACAGGAAGCAGAGAGGACACAGTGGGGATATAGCAGGGCTTTGAAATCCTTAAAGCCTCCCCTCATGATATACTTCCTCCCACAAGAACACACCTCCTGGAGGCAGGAACTGAAGCACAGGCCATGGGTGAATTCTGCTTAAAGACCTACTCCTCATAGCTTGTTCTGGATGGCTTGTTCAGCCTGCTTTCTTTCTTTTTTTCTTTCTTTTTTTCTTTCTTTTTTTCTTTTTTTCTTTCTTTCTTCTTTCTTTCTTTCTTTCTTTCTTTCTTTCTTTCTTTCTTTCTTTCTTTCTTTCTTTCTCTTTCTTTCTTTCTTTCTTTCTTTTTCCAAGACAGGGTTTCTCTGTGTAGCTTTGGAGCCTGTCCTGGATCTCGCTCTGTAGACCAAGCTGTCCTCAAACTCACAGAGATCCGCCTGGCTCTGCCTCCCGAGTGCTGGGATTAAAGACATGTGCCTCCACCACCCCCAGCCTGCTTTTTTATACACTCCAGGATCACCTTCCCAGGCATAGCACTACCTGCAGTGGGCCGGGCCCTTCCACATCAATTGTCAGTCAAGAAAACGCACCACAGGCTTTCCTATGGCCAACTTGATGGGGGCATTTTCTCAACTGAGAGGCCATCTTCTCAGATAATATGAGCTTATGTCAGGTTGACAAAAAACTAAGAAGCACACTCCAGAGTAGTCTATTACATGTTGATTTATAATACTTGTGCTGATAGTACCAGTGACATCCTCACCCGGGGGAAGAGTATGAGGCAAAGTTGGAGCTGTTACATGAGGTTCCTTCATTACTTCTGTGGAGCCGGGGTGGGGGTGTTGGGAGAGGAGGGAGTGGCCTGGCATTAAGAAGCCTCTGCTTTCTATCCCTCAAGCAACCTCATAACATTCTGCAGAGGCGCCTCATGGAAACCAACCTGTCCAAGCTCCGGAGCAGTCGAGTCCCTTGGGCCTCCAAGACCAACAAATTCAATCAGGCAAAGTCTGAAGGGCTAAAAAAGTGTGAAGATGATGACATGATTTTAGTGTCTTGCCAGGTAATGTTCAAGGAACAGCTTTTCCAGAAATTTCTAGAAAGTAGGATTTGGGTGCCCTTTATAATCTCAATAGTAGACCTTATCCTCAAAACTTTATAGACAGTGGTTCTTCACATGGAATTAATAATTGGGTTTTAAAGTTCTATATATTAGAAATGCATACAATATTTTATATGTGTGCACATTTGAATGGCAATAAGTACCAACGCTTTTGTCAGATTTACAAAAGAACGTGTGATCTTTTTAAAGAGCTGAGATGTAGTTCAGTGGTAGAAAACTCATGGAGCATGCTCAAGGCCCTGTATTTGACCCCCAGAATGATTTTTTTTTAGAATATTGTGTATGTAATATTTAGTATATAGAATGAAACCTCCAAAGTTCCCTATGGGTACTCTATCAGCCTTAGAGTTAGCAGGAAAAGAGCCAATCAAAGACAGATTTAGCAGTGAAGGACAATGGGACAGCACCGACCGACCGACCAGTTGGAAGGTTGCTCTCAAACCATGCCTTTCCTTTGACTGCTGCTGCTTGCTCTTTGCTTCTCTAGAGCCTATTAAAGAGTATCTTTCCTTCCCGTAGTGTGCTGGAAAGGATGTGAAAGCTTTGGTTGACACCGGCTGTCAGTATAATCTCATCTCTTCGGCCTGTGTGGACAGATTGGGGTAAGTAGCCACTTGTGCTGGGTGCACGTCAGATGTAATTATACTCCTTGTTTGAATCTGGTTTAAGGTTATAGATGCTTGAATGTACCCACAGAAGCACAGAGAAACATGCAAAGTTTTTATCTTGGCCAGAACCATTTCCTTAATAGAGGGAAAATGCGGCAGTTGTTAGACAGCGGAAGAGATCCAGGACACCTTGGGCCTTCTGCTAACTCCCACTTTCTACATTTTGAGCAGACTTCTAGACTGTGGGATGAGAGAGAGAAAACCCAGGGTTCTCCCTCTCCTGGTCAGAGAAAGCCATTCTGTCTTACTGCCGTTTCACTCAACCTTTCCTGTTACTTCTTTCCTTCTTCCTACTCTTTCTTCTAAAGTACCAGATGGCCCCTGAGGTATCTAACCTAAAATGAATAGAATCAACCTAGTATTGTTTTCCATATTTCCCTGTAGACAGTAAATCATTCCTCAGACCAAATCTCTGCAATTAAACAGTTATTGAGACAGACCAAGTGGCCTGTTTTGAACTTCATCCAAGACATGCAAATTCTCAAGTGGGCTTACACCAGGGGCTTCATTTGGGTTCTTAATGATGGCATTGTGTACCTTCTACATCTACCTTGTTCTCACTCCTCATCACTGCTGTGATTCCCTGAAGTTGGCGCTGTGGATTTTGCACATTACTGTTAAGGGTTGGGGTAAAGTAGATTCCAAGACTCAAGTGGGATGAATCTTAAATTTTTTTTTAAATGTGGTAAAGAGATGAGGTATGTACAATTTGATTGTTCCAGAAAGACTAATAATGTCCTGATGCATAATTAGGCAGCAGACTGCCATGATTCTGGAAGAATTAATAACCATCTGTAAAACTGCAATTAGTTTTCTTTTGGATAGGCTGTAACACCAAAAGAGAGGAAATGGAGGAGAGCCGAAGTATTGGCACAGAAAGTCCATAATTAAGTATTTATCCACCAACCCATAATAGCTTGGGTGCTAGCTATTCCAACCAGCTTATGTAATTGTGTGAGCACTTGGTGCTATTCCTTTCTTTCCTTCCCGGCAAAGGCAAGTCAAATTAGGGAGAACTTCCTCCATAATACTCTCTGCTGATAGTATCTATGCACTTACCAAATAAATGCCTGTCCCTATTAACCTTATGGCCTAAGACAATCTGATGGGAATAAACTGAAATAGAAAGGAGGGGGAAATGGGACCTTGAACGAAGCCTTTTCTAAATTAGGATTAATTTGTCCTCTGATATCTGTTATCCACAGATGGGTAAGAGACACATTAATTAAACTATCTCACACACATATGGGGATGTTAGGATGCAAGCAGAATTCTCTGAATGTGTCAAACTCCTCTCTTAACAAATGCAGGTAGTGATGTAATCTTCTTAAAAATAGGAAACAAGTCTCGTGGTTTCTTTTGTATTCCCCTGGCATGTTTAGGAAAAAGGGTTAAAGTAAGTACAGGCTAGCTAGCCCAGGAAGTCCCGAGTGAATCCCTATTGTCAATCAGAAACCTTTGCCAATGAGATTATATCTTCCTATGTTTCAGACTAAAGGACCATGTTAAATCTCACAAGCATGAAGGAGAAAAGCTTTCTCTGCCACGGCATCTCAAAGTAGTAGGCCAGATTGAGCACTTACTGATTACAGTGGGCTCTCTCCGTCTGGATTGCCCAGCAGCTGTGGTTGGTGAGTTAAAATTGGGGACTAGATCTATGGACCTAACATAAACCTTCCTGAGGTCTCATGCCTGTAATACTGGCTTCTTCAAAATCCAAGGTTCATATTTCCTTGTGCTGTATACCTTTGTGCTAATTTTACCCTTCCAAGTGCTGTAATTACAGTGCCCGCCATACCCAGCACATTTTTTTTGAGACAGGATCTCTCTATATAGTCCTGTCTATCCTAGAGCTCACTATACAAACCAGGCTGGCCTTGAACTCAGAGATTCTCCTGTCCCTCCTCCCTAGTGCTGAGACAAAGGCATGTACCACCATGCTCAGCCCAGCACATTACTTTTTTTTAATTTTTAAATATGTATTTACTGGGGGCTGGAGAGATGACTCAGTGGTTTAGAGTATTTCCTGCTCTTGCAGAAGCCTCAGGTTGGGGCATCTATATAGGATGGTTCACAACCACTTGTGACTCCAGTTCCAAGGGATCTGGCATCTTCTTCTGACGTCCTCAGGCTCCTGTACACATATGTGGTGTACATACATACATATAAACACTAAGTAAATACATTTTTAGAAATAGAATGGAGCTAGTGGAATTGCTCAGTGGATTAAGATGCTTGTCATCAAGGTTGACAGCCTGAGTTTGATCCCCAGAACCTACATGGTAGAAGGAGAAAACTGACTTTTGCAAATTATCCTTTGACTTCCACATGTGACCCATGGCACAGGTGTTCCCACCCAAATAAATACATGTAACTAGATGTTTTGATAATAAAATTATACTTGATTATATAAGGCTATTTTCACACAAGTATATAAATATACTTTGAGCATATCCCATTTCCCTTTCTTACTCTTCACTATCCAGGTAGTCCCCTTGTTTCCCTAGACAGCTTCACTACTATTTTATGTTATCTGTTTATATATGATTTTATGTGTCCATATGAAACCTAAGACAAGCAAATGAGAAAAAACATGAAGTATTTGTCTTCTGGGGACTGACTTATTTCCAGTGGTTATCTCCAGTTGCATTCATTTTCCTACAAATGATATAGCTTCATTCTTCTTTATGGATAAAAAAAATTCCATTGTGCATATCGGCCACAATGGAACAGATTTTGTCTACATTTACTTATTTAGGGAGGAGGTATGCTCATGTGACATGACACTTGTATAGAGGTCAGAGGTCAGGTCTTTCCCTCCACCATGTGGATTCCAAGGATTGAATCAGGTCTTCAGACTTGGCAGTAAGCACCTTGCCCACCGAGCCATCTTACCTGCCTGAAGACAGATATTAAAATGTCCCCAAGGGCACTTTTCATTTGGTGAGGGCACTGATCCTCTTCCTCCTCTGCCATTAATGCCTAATTGCCTACTCTCCCTCTGCTTCTCATATGTTCTATGTTAGACTATCTGCCTATTTTTTGCTGAAGGCCTCTGTCCTCTAGAGTGAAAAAGACTGGTTTGAATTTTGGCTCTTACCTTCTTTTAACTATAATGATCTGAAAAAGTACTCAATAAAAGATGTTCAACAGATATTTATTGGCTAGTTAGCTGGCTGGTTTGTTGGATGGATGGATGGATGGATGGATGGATGGATGGATGGATGGATGGATGGGACAAATGAACCTAATGGTGATTAGGTTGACATCCAAGCCAGCATGGAAATGTCTCAATCTTACTGTTTTGCTTTTATTAGATGATAATGAAAAAAACTTGTCACTTGGTCTCCAGACTCTTAGATCCCTGAAGGTAGGCCCGACTCTCCTTTTCTTTTGATACTTCCTCTCACAGGCAGGGAACTGAGAGTAGCATCACTGACAAGTGACCAGTGATCCTCCTTTGTTTCAGTGTATCATAAATCTGGACAAGCACCGGCTGATTATTGGGAAGACAGACAAAGAAGAAATCCCTTTTGTGGAGACAGTGTCTTTGAATGAAGCCAAGTGAGTACTGAAATTAGTCAGAGAAGTCAAATCCATCTGTCTTGAGTGGGGGGTTCTCAGTGCATGGGATCCTAGCCCAAATCTGCCCTTGCCCAGACCAGAGTTCATTGTCCCACAGAACTCTGTAGTTTACATGTTATAATAAAAAAAAACGATAGCACACAGAATGGCGGAAGAAATCAACAGCTTTTTAAGGTAGAGTATGTGCATGTGAAACAAAATTTCAGTATGTAGCCCAGGCATGGAATGGGGTGTGAAGTGGAAGTGGGGGCATTGAGATGGGGTTTTTGTATATAGCCCAGGCTGGCTTTGAATTCATGAGCTTCCTGCCTCAGCCCCTAAGTGCTGGGATTAGAAGTGTATGCATGAGAAGTTTTTAAGTCAGTTTATTTGCCTTCAGATTAACTTCTTTGAATTTGCTCTCAATTCTTTGTTTCTTTCTCATTTCAGCACTTCAGAAGCATAATTGCAGCCTGGAGAGTGTCTGCATGTGCACACACCAGGTTGACAGACTGAGAAAACTGGGTTTGAACTAAATGCAGTAGCAATTTGCTATGGACCAAGTCCTTCCCTCCAGTACATCCTGCAGGGGCTTCTTCCCACTCAGACCTTTCTAGACTATAGTCTGTGCTTAGAGATCTTGTCTAGTTAATGGCTTAAATG